AAAGGGATATAATTTTCGAGTCGAGTTCAAATCGGGTGGACTAAAATTCTGATACGACCCAACCTATGCTCATCCATATTTAAGAACAGAGTTACAAAATAAAAAACGTTAAAAATTATCATTATCTATTTTGAGATAGTATAGTATTAAAATCAATTAATTAAATGATAAAGTAAATGTCATTGTCAAACCCTTATTTCATTAGATTTAAATTTTTTATATATTTATTCGATCGTTTTAAAAGATTAAATTCTTACTTAAACATATTTAAAAATATTAGATCTTACTTAATCATTTAAGGTTAAACCACACCTTTGGTACCTAAACTATCAGTTTTGATCTATTTTAGCATTTAAACTTTTTTCAGGTTTACTTTTTATTTCATTTTAGTAAATGTCGTTAAAAAACTTAACGGATGGGCTCCCCGCTCGGCGCATCTATAGTTGCCAGAAGTTGCATCTGTCGGTTGATTTCAACCTCCGTTTCACCAGAAAACACCTCAATCTCCCCAAATCGACGATGAATTCTTCAATTTCTTCATCCTACGACCTCCACGATTCACCATTCGGATTGATCGTCCGTCCACGAGAGTTATGCCATGTCAACCTATCCATAAGTTTTTAACAACGAGTACTACAATAAATAACAAAACTAAACGTTAAGTATGATTCTTTTTAAAAAAAATGAAAGTTTAAACACTAAAATGGGCCAAAATTGATAGTTTAGGTACTAAACGCATTGTTTACCATCATTTTATGAGCAACCTCTAAAAATTAGACCTTAGTTTAGTAAATAGCCAATGAAATAAAAACCGATGCAATAATGGATGGAGTGGAGTAAAGTAACTACGAAAAAAACCCCCAAAATATACGGTCTTTGGAAAGACATTTCACAAAGTTCAAGGGACCATCAACGACAAATGCAAAAATACCATGCATAAATATAATACAACGTAAATGTGATTGCCTTCTCGTAGTTTCATTTTGAGATGTTTAATTGCAAAACAAGGCAGCGGCAATTCAGATAACGGAAGGGGACGCCGCCGACCCGCCGCCGAGACAAGCGTGGCTCAATCGTCTCTCAGCCTCTTAAACTCGCATTGTAAGGCGTTTCTTCACATCCCCGCCTTTAATTATTTTCAGCTTCTATATGTTTTGGTTTTTGGTGCTTTTTTTCTTCTTCCTGGGATTGTTTTTTGAGTTAATTTCTGGGTTTAATGCATAATTCGTTTATGTCATATTAGGCTTTGTTAGATTTGGTTTTGTTTAATGAATTTTGGAATTTATTGGTTATAATTTCGTGTATAAAAAGATGATGTTGGGCAAAGATGAAACTAGGAAGAAGAATGGTGAAGAATCGGGTAAGTTTTTGAATTAAACTGAAGTTATTAGCAAACCGTTGTATTTGGACAAGAACCCTCCAAGGAATTCATTTTATGATTCTAATTCTCGTTCCAAATCAGTCACGAAAACCCATTCTTTGGAACCGAATCGAAGCGTTAAGAATCGTAATGCGGGTCCATCGCCTCGTAGAGGCAAGAAATCCATTTGGAGTTGGAAGGCGTTGAAAGCATTTTCGAATGACAAAAGCCGTAAGTTTCCTTGTTGCTTCTCACTTATAGTACACTCTATTGAAGATTTGGCGGTCGGTTTTAGTGGACTTAGTCTATGCGTGCATTGGAAGAGGCGGGATGAGGTTCTAGTGACTCGTCCCGTTAAAGTTTTTGATGGAACTGCTGAATTTGAAGAGAAGTTATCGGTTACTTGCTCTGTATACGGTACTAAAATTGGACCTCGCAATTCAGTCAAGTATGAGGCAATGCATTGTTTGCTTTATGCTTCTGTGTGTGGTGCACCGGACCTTGACATAGGGAAGCATCAGGTTGACCTTACTCGGTTGCTTCCACTTACATGGGAGGAATTGGAGGAAGTGAAGAGCTCGGGGAATTGGACAACAAGTTTTGAGTTAGCAGGGAAGGCCAAGGATGCTATAATGAATGCTAGTTTTGGTTATATGGTTTTGTCTGATATGAAGCAAAATAGAAAAACAGGTACTAAACTCGGTAACAATGATCAGAAGGGCACGATGAGGGCTGTTGAGAGTCTTCCCTGTTTGTCTAACATCACATCCTTTTCTCTCTTTATGGAGGAGATGAAAGAACTTCATGAAATTTTGCCTTCATCAAAGTCGGACACTGATGATGAAAATGTGGTAGATCAGAAATTTGAAGAACACAAGTCAGATGATGCTTCAATTCCTTCTAAGCCTGAACCCGATGTGTTGGTTGAACATTTTGATCCTGCCTTACCTCCATCTGAATCAAATGAGTACATTGAGAAAGAAACCGGAGGTGATTTTTATGTTGTGGAAAAAGGGAAAGAATTATCTTCACAAGAACAGGTTAGGTCGGAGGAAGTTTCCATGGTGGCTGCTGTATCCAAAGTAGAAAGTAATAAATTTTTTGAAATTAACCCTGACATGGATGTAAATTCTGAAGAATCCTATGAGCTTTCTCCCTTAAATGAGGTCAGTTGTGTTAATCGAGGAGACACACTTGTGGTACGAGATAGCAATTCCGAAGTGGATGACCAATTCTCAAAAGAATCACTGATGAGAGAGTTGGAGTTAGCTTTAGATGGCATTACAAATTTGGAGGCAGCCTTAGATTCTCCTGATTCTGAAGACTCGGAAGACTACATGGGACATAATGCTAATTATGAAACAAACAGGAAGTCCTCGGTTAGCTTGGATGAAGTTACCGAATCTGTGGCAAGTGAGTTCTTGAGTATGCTTGGATTTGATAACAGTCCATTCAGCTCGTGTTCTGAGAGTGAGCCCGAGTCACCAAGGGAGCGTTTACTAAGGCAATTTGAGAAAGAGACCCTTGCTAGTGGTTGTTCATTATTTGATTTTGGCATGGCTGATAGGGGGGAACTAGAATGTAGTTCTGACATCTCTACTTCGGGGAATTCGAGTGGGGTTTTGGATACACCATTTGTTGTTCAAGATGCTGTGCAAGAGCATCAGATTGAAACTAATGGGAGGATCAAATTGAGGGCTAAAGTTTTGGAAGACTTGGAGACAGAAGCATTAATGCATGAATGGGGATTGAACGAGAAGGCTTTTCAGCGTTCTCCACCTAGTTCTTCTGTTGGCCTCGGAAACCCATTTAAATTTTCTCCTGGAGATCCACTTGATCTTCCCCCTCTTGGAGATGGTTTACGTCCATTACTTCAGACAAAGAATGGAGGGTTTTTGCGATCTATGAATCCCTCAATTTTCAGGGATTCTAAAGTTGGTGGGAGCCTGATCATGCAAGTGTCTAGTCCAGTTGTGGTACCTGCAGGAATGGGTCCCACTGTAATGGACATACTTCAACGACTGGCCTCAATTGGGATAGAAAAGCTCTCCATGCAGGCAAATATGTTGATGCCTTTGGAGGATATAACTGGTAAGACTATGGAACAAGTTGCATGGGAAGCTTCCCCCACTCTGGAGGGATCAGAGAGGTTTGTGAGTCCATTTTTCTTTGGCTTCCTGCCATTTATTTCCATGATCAACTTTGTTTGTGATATCCTATTGATATTATATGCTACTGTTTCTTCTGTGCAGCCAGTATATGTTGCAGCATGATTCTGAGGTTGGACAAAAGAAAATTAAAACAAGATCACCATTATCCAGCTCTAACATGCTTAGTTCGTCCTCTGTCAATGAGATGGGTTTGGATTATGTATCACTTGAAGATCTTGTTCCATTGGCAATGGATAAGATTGAAGCACTCTCATTGGAAGGGTTGAGAATTCAATCGGACATGTCAGATGAGGATGGACCTTCAAGCATCAGTGTGCAATCTATTGGGGAAATTTCGGCTCTTAAGGGTAGGGGAATTGGTGTTACTGGATCCCTTGGTCTGGAGGGAATTGCTGGGTTGCAATTGTTGGACATAAAAGACAGTGGTGATGATGTTGACGGTTTGATGGGTCTGTCACTGCCGCTTGATGAATGGATAAGACTTGATTCTGGGGAACTAGGTGATGAAGATCGACTTGGAGAGCAGACTTCTAAAATCCTTGCTGCTCATCATGCTACATCATTAGACTTGATATGCAGAGGGTCAAAGGAAGAGAAAAGACAGGGTAGAAAGTGTGGTTTGTTTGGGAATAACTTCACAGTCGCATTGATGGTGCAACTTCACAATCCTATAAGAAACTATGAGCCAGTTGGTGCACCAGTGCTTGCTTTGATTCAAGCGGAGAGAGTATTTGTCCCACCAAAGCCAAAGATACACTCTACTATCTCAGCTGCTTTGAAGAAAAACGATCAACGGGACGAAGACTCTGAGTCTGCCATGGAGGAGGTGAAAGAGGAAGAGCCTCAATTCAGAATCATTGAAGTCCATGTTGCAGGTTTGAGGACTGAGCCAGGCAAGACAAAACTTTGGGGTACCACGACCCAACAACAGTCTGGTTCTCGATGGTTGCTTGCCAATGGAATGGGAAAGAGCAAAACACATCAGCTATTCAAGTCCAATTTTGCTTCTAAATCTTCAACCCCTTCAACAACAAAGGTTCAGCCAGGTGACACTTTGTGGAGCATCTCGTCTCGTATTGACGGCACTGGAGCCAAATGGAAAGAATCGGAAGCTCCTAATCCGCATATTCGAAATCCTAATATAATATTCCCCAACGAAACTATCTCCTTGCGATGAGTTGTTCATGACTTCATGCAATGAAATCTGCTTGAAAAGATTCACAGCTCTGAGATTAGAAAGGTTGGGTTGTTAAGTTCTACTAGCGGCCTTGTGGGGGGGGGGGGGTTCTTGCATTTATTTTGAATGTGTTCATCATGCAATTCAACCCTAAAGAAAAGGTGAGTTTACATTATCATTCCTGTCTTGTAAATTTATGTATTTTTGTGATCAAGAATGCATGGTGTAATTTATATCTTTAGCGCAATTATGTTTTGTCTCCTTTGTCTCTCATTGTTTTGTCTCATAGATAAATAATCCATTACTAGAACTTCATTGACTCCGACCAGAACACAAAATTACATAATCCCAAAGTCAAAAACGTGAAGAACCAGAAACAAAACATGTTACAAATAATACAATCCAAACATTATTACACTGAAACAGCCTATAGTTTCCAATTATTTAAGCACCTCATAACAACAGCTCCCAGTTTCCCTTCATTAATGGCTTCACAGACCTTCTCTATATCCTCTCCTGGACTCACCTTCTTTTCACCAACAAGAAGCTCAGTTCCCACTTCCTTCCTCACAAATCCATATATCGGATAAGTCCTGCATTTCTCGATCTGATTAGCAACCTCGAATTCTTCATTGCCGAATTTTGCTCTTGCTTTCGGTAACTCTTCCTCGAGTTTCGCCTTCAATTCCTCGACGAAAACCGGGATCCTTTTGAATATCGAAAACCCTTCTTCGTCGCCCTTTTTATCTTTTAGTGCCCTTTCGACAAGCACTTCTCGAAGCTTAGGCAAAAGGGTGTACGAAGGGTTCATCGGGTCATCGAGATAGGAGAAAACCGGTTGGTGTTCGATGACCTGCAAGAGTTCTTTCTCGCAGAAACGTGATTGGAGCAGTGATCCATCTTCTGCAAGGTAGAGTGTTTTCTTTACTACTTGGAGAAGTATTTTTTTCACTGTTTCTCTCATGTTTTCCTCCAAATGTCGCAAATCAATAGCCTGGCAAAGTGCCACCATGAATGTTGAGGACATCAGCTTGAGTATTTCAATGGCTTCTGCACTTTTTCTAGCCGAGATAAGGCCGAGGGAGTTGACATCTTGGTTGTGTTGTTCGGCGCTTTGCACATGCGTCGTGACGGGATTCGCGAGGTATTGTAGCTCGGAGCAGTATGCAGCCATGGCAATCTCTGCGCCTTTGAATCCGTAGTCCAAGCTTGGATTAGTTCCTCCGCTCAAGTTCGACGGCAAACCGTTGTTGTAGTAATCGCAAACGAGTTCGGAGAATTGAGCAAACATGAGCTTCCCGATGCCTGCGATTGCGATTCGGAGATTGTCCATGGAGACACCTATAGGCGTCCCCTGGAAATTCCCACCATGGAGAGCGATGTCACGATCGACATCGATCAACGGATTATCGTTAACGGAATTGATCTCCCTCTCGATCGAATGCGTCGCTTGTCGAATTACTTCGACTTGAGGTCCAAGCCATTGAGGAGAGGTTCTAATTGCATACCTGTCTTGTTTAGGCTTAGTAAGAGGGTCTTTCTCATGCCTGATCTTAGCTTCTTTCATGTAATCACTTCCGTCTAAAAGAAACTTCATGATCGCAGCCGATTCGATCTGGCCGGGATGGTGCTTGAGCTCATGCGTTAAGGGATCGGTGAACTCCGGCTTGCCGTGCATAACTTCGCAAAACAAAGCCGAGAGAATCACCGAAAGGAGAGCCAAAAGATTGGCATCGAAACAAACCGTCGCAGCAACAGCAGAACCAACGGCGGTTCCGTTCACAAGAGCTAAACCTTCCTTTGCTTGGAGCTCGAAAGGACCATTAATTCCAGCTCTTTTCAAAGCCTCGACACCGTCGATTTCTCCTCCGTCAGCAGTGACGACCTTGGAGTTTCGTCTCCCTGTTAACAACCCTGCAATGTATGATAACGGGACGAGATCACCGGACGCGGTGATCGTCCCTCTGAGCGGCAGTTTCGGGATCAAATTCCGATTCATGAGTTCCGTCATGGCTTCGAGTATCTCCCACCGGATACCGGAATAGCCTTGCATGAGCGTGTTGGCACGAACGAGCATAGCCGCCTTGGAATAACTGGTCGGAAGATATTCTTTCCCGATCACACCGGCGTTCAAGAATCTTATAAGCTCCGTCTGGAGGTCGGAAGTCTTCGTGGTACGTCTATGAGACGTAGCACCAAAACCAGTGGTGACTCCATAAATGTCAATCCCACGAGAGACTCTGTCGCTAACCCAATCAGCACTCTTCGCCACCCTGTCACGAGCAGCCGCCTCATCAAGCGAAACCACCACTTCGTTCCTTCTCGAAACCGCCGTGACCTCAGCCACCGTAAGGGTAGTCCCCTGAATTCCAACAACTTTCGCCTCCGCAAACTGCGACACCATTCGGCTAACCTCGTCGACATAAGAGCACCGGAGGGCATCAGCAGCCTTTTGCCAGTGCAAATGAGTTAAGACAGAGCAACCATTCTCGGAAACATCGAATTCACCAGTTGCCATTGCAAGAGAAAGAAGAAAGACAACAAGGGTACGTGAAGAATATGGAAGAAGGGAGATTGAGAGGTAGTTTTTAGGACTTGGAAGTGGTGAGTTCTGATAGAGAAAGCAATGGGTGAGGAGTATTTATAGTGGTGTGTGTGAGGGTGAAGTGTTTGTTAAGTGGGAAAGGGCTGCGGTTGGTCAAGTCCTTTAAAAGTAAGCCACCCTCATTTTGACTGGTCTCAGATGCTGTTTCAGGGAAACTGAGTGGAAAGATACTTGGGCTTTTCTTTCTTTCAAAGAAACAAGTCTTAGTTGTTGAATGGAAAAATGTGTAATATTAAAATTCCACCTTACTATTATTTCTAAATAATCACTTTTTGGTATATTTTAATATTAAAAATTTATTTTTCTCAAAATAATACTCAACACATTTTTATTTCAATTTAGTATTCATCGTTAAAAGCTTAACGGACGGACTGACGTGATATAGTTTCGGTAGAAAAACGACCAATCCGAACTGTGGACCACAAGAGAATAACGAGTCGACCAACATAGTTCAGTTTTATATCCATTGGACGGTAGACCATGGAGATAGAAGGATAAAGTGCTCGAAGAGTTCGCATTGATTAGGGAAGATTGAGGTGTTTTCAGTGAAAATGAGATCGGAATTGTATTCAGGGTTCGAAAAGGTGCGAGCTGGAAAATTTACTCTTCATCAATCATCGAAGAATACGACGGCCAACAACTTTAGCGATCAACCAGCCCATCCGTTAAGTTTTTAATGGCGAGTACTAAAATAAAACTAAAACTAAGCATTATGTATGGTTTTAAAAAAATTGAAAGTTTAAGTACTAAAACGGACTAAAATTGATAGTTTGTGTACTAAACATGTAGTTTACCCTACTAATTACTATTCGGATATTATTGTAAAAATTTTATATTAATAATTAAATTTTCTTTTGTTAACCAACTCTTTTTGGTTTTCTTGATGTAGTAAGTGAGGTGAAAATAAAGGGGAAACTGTTTACAAGTGAGGACTATTTTTTTATTTATTAATAAGTGAGGACTAAATTGAATATTAAAGAGTTCATGGTAGTGAGGAATTGACCATTGACCTTATGGAAAATGCGTTCCGCAGTTGGTACAAGTACATGAACGACAGCTTTTATTCGGACCATATTGACCCACGTGGACATGGGTCATTTTTTTTAGTTCATATGTATACCCACCATCCATTAGCTAACATTAGCTTATTCCTTATGTATTTTTTATACCCACCGTCCCTAAACTTTAAAATATTCTAATTTCATCCCTAAACTATAATTATCATTTTAAATTAGTCTTCAAAATTTTAAACAATTTAATTTCATCTCTAGATTATGACTTTCATTCTAAATTGGTATCCAAACTTTTTGAGCATTCCAATTTCATCCAAAACTATATCGATATACTAATCACGTCCCTTATTAATAAAATCGTTAGGCCAAGTTATATGATTGTATGTTTGAAAAAAATAAAATTTAAGTTAAATTATGGTTAAAACTAATTACATATATATTTGGATGAGTTTAGGGATGAAATTGGAATATTTAAAAGTTTGAGGACTAATTTAGAAAGAGTATCATAGTTTGGGGATAAATTAGAATGTTCAAAAGTCTAATGATTAATTTAGAACGAAAGTCATAATTTTGAGATGAAATTGAAACATTCAAAAGTGTAAGGACTAATTTAAAATAAGAGTAATAGTTTAGGGTGTAATTAACTCTAAAAATAAATTATATATATTTACATAATTGAGTCGAGTATAAGTTTTAATATAAAAATATATATCGGATTTCGGGTTGATAAAGATAATCTTACAATCGGGTCGGGTCAAGTTCAAATGGAGATGTATATTTCTCGGGTCAAATTTCGAGTGAGTAAAAAAATCCGATCCGATCTCTAGCTACGAGCCATTAATCTTTAAGTGTTGGATGATTAGGGTCAGACATTTTCACCAAATTAATGACGAAAAGGTTTCGGAATCTCTTTATGATATTAACAAAGCTAAGAACAAAGAACACAATTCAGGCCACCGATGTTCAGCCAACAGGCAGCACCCTCAATCAATACTACAAAATTTTCCTCAGAAAAGCATATGATGTTGATATGTATACGGTCCTTAACATGATGCAGGTGTTGGTTTCTTGTGGCTGCAAAGGGGGCATTTTTACACCTCCTCGGCCGATACTTTTCCTTTACCCTTTGCTTGCTCGGTGGTGCCGCTCGAGGATTGAGAAGATCCGGACCCTCCCTGCGTAAATGGCAACGAACATGTTCAAAGTCTAACCCTAATCATCCAACAGTTATACAATAAGGATCATGCACAATCTTCTACTTACAGCTTGATCAGTTGATTCGGATCTCTTGCTGCTTGGATTATCAGAATCTGATGACTTAACCACAATTTCATGCAATGTAGGGAGATTATTCATCATCGTGAACAGATGATCCCTGCATCAAAAGATATTGACGATTCCCAGCAGCATAAATAAACCAGTGGAAGTAGTAATAGCTAGTAAGCAATACCTTTGAGCTCCATTAAAAGAACGCTCAGAAGCAAGAAAGAAAGCCACAGCTAGTAACCATGAATCACATGCAGCAGCAACTTTACGCATGCATGGATATTTATCCAACAAATCTCTGCGAATGTTGAAACCCCATGTAGGGTTTGGTACCACCGGAGGTTTGGGGGCAGCCAGTTTAGCTTCCCATCGTCCATCTTCAAGTCCAAACAAGCAAAGGTCGACGCCCTTCACTGGACAAGAAACCCAAACTCAGAAAACAGTTATCATAGGGTAACAAAGAGAAGAAGATATTACCAGGATCGCATTGCTTATAGAATTCTTCAGAGTCTGCTCCAAGAAAAAGGAAAGAATGGGAATTAGAATGAGAAAAAGATTAATGGATGATAAAGGAAGGAAAAGACTAAAGAAAGAAGAGAGAGACCGGTGGTTAAGGCTTTCACCAAAGCTTCATGGCGGCCTTGGAAATCCCTAAAGACGGCGTCCACTTCTGTGGTGTTGCCTTGTTCTTGAGCATTACTTCCCTCCATTTATCTGCAGATTGATTCACACCACTGATATAGGAGAAATATGTATTGCAGTAATTTTTCTTTCTTGGAAAACAATGGAGACTCGTGAAATCCTGATATATAGTGAAATAAAAAATCAGGTGGCGGGAACAGTTGGCTGACTCGAGTGTGATTTGACTGACTCGGTCTGGTTCTTGGACTAGTGATTTCATCATTAATATTGGGCGTACTGGTGGTTAGAAGTTAAATATGTCACGAGGTTGTTTAAACCATACCGATTATTCCTCTATTGACTTTGATTTATATTTAGATAATCAACACATAAACATAAGAAAATGTTAATGACTTGCAATCGATTTCCTTTGTTACTGCTTGTTCTAAGCTCCGTGTGGCTCCGTGTGGCTCGTCTCCTCCTAACATAGACATCGGCCTACTCGAACGACGATTTCATCTTTATTTCCGATCAATGAAATAACACTAATGGAAGACAAGGGAGACAACAGATGCTTTTAAGTAAAGTTTTCTGCAACAAGAAGAAAAAAGAACACCAAAGAAGCAAATAGAAGGCTCATCGGTCTACAACTGCAAAATGGAGTCCACAAGATCAGACAGAGGTGCAAGTTCTCCATTGTCAATCAACCGAAATTCCTGCTTAAAATGACAATGTTTCAGATATGGAGGTCCCTCATAATCATTACCATAAGCACATGGGACTTTGAGAAAGAAAGAAAAAAAAAACTTACCCAAGTAAACAGAACAAAATGCTTAAAGCAAGTATTCAAATGAGCTTCCTCTTTAAGGCTCATAATCTTCTGAAAATGTGAGTGGTAAATGTGTGCATGTACTCTGAACAATCTCTTAATAACGTCTTCACGACATCTCGGTGGAAATGGTGCCTCTGTATTCAATTACACTTCTCATCAACAATGGCAATAGCTTCCATTTCTTAGTTCATAACATGATTACATGATAGTATACTGAATTACTAACCTGGTTTTTGTGGGAAAATTGCTTCATGATCCAGCTGAGCTTCAATCCAGTCCATTAGATACTCAACATATTTAGGAGCAGATACCTATATAGGCTTCTTTACTGTAACCCCATCAGCCCAACGATACTCGTATCTGCCGACATCGATCGTCATCGATGTGCCTTTGGAGCTGAGCACCCTGCAAATGCATTTTCATGGAGAATTGCTGAATCTCAACTTTGTATAAACATTAAATCTGAAAAAACAGAACAAGGGACGCAGCACTCGAACCGTGCTCCCTGATGGAGCATTCTTCTTTGGCCTAAATGTCTTCTGGTTTCTGCATAATGTAAAACAGATTTGGAAAAAACACTGAATCTAAAAACTATGGGGGAAAATGAGATTTGGGTTATTGAAATTGTGCGAACCTGCTACCGAGGCCGAAGAGACTCGTGGAAAATGACCAACTCTTGGCGTTTCTAGCTGTGCATACAAATGGAGGAATCAGAGGATAAAGAAAACAATAAATCCGTATATGCTGGATTTTGGATTTGCATTTTAGTTCCGCGATTAAGTTGGATTGGATTGGCTCATTCAATTGCTTGACAGATAAGTCTCTCGATCACTACCGAGCCTAGTTCGAGCTGTTAAGAGTCCATGGCGTCGAGGTGATCGATTCCAGGTGAAATTCTGATAGCTACTCTATCGGCACCGATGGCTTCAGCTACTGCTCGAACGATTTACATCAAGAATCAAGTTCACTCAAGTTTCTCAACTAATGCTCTATATGCATGGTGAATAACAATTGTGAATGAACGAATATAGGAGAAATATGAAATCCTGAACTATATATATATATATGGTGATAAACAGTAAGGCAGGAACACTTGTTTTCTTACGAGCCATTAATCTTTTAATGCACTTTCATCTTAAAGCAGTTATATTGTTAAGTCGTTTTCAAGCTGTGTAGTGGCTGACTGCACTGAATGAGTTGACCATCACCCATATGGGTTCGGATTTTGGAATCTTTTGTGCATCATTTGAACAAGGTCTTGGATTCGATAAGCCATAACACATGAATAGTGGTATATATGAACATAACGTTTCATATAACATTTTTAGCCTTAAAGACGAAGTAACTACGAAACTTTGAACACGGGAATGAACCTAAAAAAGTAAAGGAGTTTGTGTAGCAATAAAGGCTCAAAACCGTACAAGCTTCTCAGGAAGCAGGCATTTGGCTTCAGGCACCAACTATTGTAGTACTTAATAATGAATCTTCCTTCTTTTTATCTCACTTTTAACCTTTAGTTTATGGGTTTCCGTGGAGTTGTCAGAGGGGAAGAGTCGCCTTTGTTGCAGCTGAGTTGCAGGACCAGAGGCTGCAGTCATAATATATCCGAGCAGCTATTAGTACTCGGTAGGTAAAATAGAGAGAGAAACAAAAGGTGGCATTCATTCATAAACCATTAGTTTCATCCATGTACGCCAAGATTCTGCAATATCTACAGTGAAATGGTCCATGAAATAAATACACCACTCCAAATCAGACTTGCTTGTACTTATCCAAAAAAAAAAATCAGACTTGCAGGGAAACCTACCCTTGCTTGCATTTCAAGTTTCAACGAAGATGAGTGGAAGAAACATGTTTCCTTTTACTGCAACTCAGTGGGAAGAGCTTGAACACCAAGCTTTAATCTTCAAGTACGTGGTCTCAGGCATTCCCATACCACCTGATCTCCTTTTCTCCATCAAGAGAAGTTGCTTAAACACCAGGCTTTTCTCTCGCCAGCCTCCTCCTCCTCATCCACATGGTAAAACTAAACCCCCCAAAAAACACCTTTTTGTTCATTTTGGGTGATTTTAACAATGTATTTCTGTAGTTGGGTGGAACTGTTTCCAGGTGGGACTGGGGAGAAAAGTGGACCCGGAGCCAGGGAGGTGTAGGAGAACAAATGGGAAGAAATGGAGATGCTCGAAAGAGGCCTATCCAGATTCCAAATTCTGTGAAAGACACATGCATAGAGGCAAAAAGCGTTCAAGAAAGCCTGCGGAAGTTTCTACTGGAACATCATCATCAACAAGGGCTAACCCTTCTCTTTCGTTCATGGATTACAGGTTGTTGGGTTTACAAAGATTTACTTGTATGTGTTGATCGGTTTTACTTTCATTTTGTGTATGACCTAAAGTTTTGTTGTGCCGTGGTTTTTTATAGGAGGAATAGTTATGTTTATGGGGTGAAAGAAGAGGTTGATTCACATGCACATGCTGTTTTCTCTGGTGCATCCATGGACAATTCATGGCAACTTACACCATTAACAACGAGCTCATCTTCTTCAAAACAGAATGAATACTCTTACTTGAAACTTCAAAACAACAAGGACGTCGGAGAAGCTCAAAAGACAGTTCATCGTTTCATTGATGAATGGCCATTGAAACATGGAGATCCATGAATTGATTTGGGTGATGATAAATCATCCAACGACCCATCGGTTTCAACAACCAGGCTCTCAATATCCATCCCTTCCATTTCACGTGACTTTCACAATGGTATAGTTTTAACTTAACAATGGTTCATTTGCTCCAAGCCATTGGTTCATGTAATTTAAGACATTTAACTGGAACTAGAACAAACAGAGAATGGACCTTCAATAGATACCCCAATCAATGCACAAGACAAAATTCACCCTATTCAATCTATTTATACATCAAGATTGTAATCGAATTAATTATAACCATCTACTAAATACAATCCACAGTAGCTTCAACTGATCGAAAATCTCTACTAAACTACCTATGATTACGTTCTTCCCATAAAAACCTCGTCCAAGCAAGTTTTAAGATACAAACAATAAGCGACTTACCTTTTAAGTTTTCCACATCCCATCTTGTAAGGTATGATTCATAAATATACCGGTAAAGAGGACAGAGGATGGAGCGGAGTGAGCGAACATCAAATGTCTTTACAAAGAAAGTCTCGTAGTGGAGGTTACGATTATGTGGGTTGTCACTGCGGTACGGTACATGGTTAATTTTATAATTATGTACCAGGGTTTTATATTATAAATAGAGATGTAACCTAAACCTATGAGATATTGAATAAAACTTCTAGCGCTGCCTAGGCACCGAAGACGTAAGCACATTACCGAACCTCGTTAAAATTCTTGTGTTCTTTCATTTACTTTGCCCGATTCTTAACACATCTCGTAACAACTTCCCAGCCAAATTGCCTCAGCTACAAACTGTAAAGCTGCAACACCCTACCCCAAACTCTGTAAGAGTAGGGACACTCCATAAAAAATGATCACTCTTCTCGGTATAAACTCCACACAAGATGCAATTTCTATCCATGCCCACCGCTATATGAATAAGTCTATCCTTTCTTGGTATCCTATCCATAATTACAATCCAAACAATGATTGAGTGCTTAAGGACATGAAGAGAGAACTAGGATGTAATACCCTAATCAAGTTTAACCCAAAGACCGAGAGATTAAAGTGTTACACGGGACCACCGAAGTAGCTAACCCAAAAATTTTCTTTTTAAAGTGACAATAACCATTATAAAATAACCATCCATAGTGATATAAAACAAAACATAATAAATATGAGTCTACAAATACAGAGAGCTCCTAAATCATACGAAATAGATACACTGAGTTTAAATCAAAATATAATTACTATTGAATACAAAAGAGTTTACAATAGCACATGCCCTCTAATATAAATCAATACGTACTCCGAAGCCTCGACTGGTCATCTAAGAACATGTGCACGAAAACACATTCCGAATGTTGAGCATACAAGTTCAGTGCCACACTAATAATTGTATTGTACTACATGCATCCACTAAATGAGCATGCTAGTGGAATAGGTATGAAGACATGGAGATGCTGACATGACATGCTGAGATAGACATCATGGTGTGGCTGGGGGTTCTACATCTCGGAGCACACACCCTTCTAGCTTTCTTAGGATACCTTTGGGTATCTGGCGTGAGATCCAAAACTGCATCGAAAACGTAAACCCGACCAACTTACTCCATTGAGTCTTGGGAAATCTGTGCCCAACTGGCAAACTGAAGTACCCTGACATTGACTGAGATATATTCGAACCATGCGATCGTTATCTGCTACAGTAACTCGGGTGTCCTTACTGTTTCCCAAATATCAAACAATGCTAGTTTTATGTCATCCTAGCTAATATGAGTTTATTACTATTCTCATTTGTAGTTTTATTTTATGTTGTTTTGGTATTATTGGTGTTACACCTTGAAACTCGGGTTAGTAGTTCGAGTCAACCCGAGACCCATTTTAGTGTCTAAAATAATTATTAAAAATATCTTAGACTAAGGCTAAGTAGATTTGGGCTGTGTTGGGCCCAAAAGACTTATGTAAGGTGGTGCTATTAATAGGGGCTAAGTAGATTTTGAGTTAACCCGAGATTTGGGGCGTTACATAGACAATTATGTGCCAATGCACTCTAACCTTCTTTTCCCTTATTCTTTCCCAAATCCAACTACTATTTACCATTTCCCAATTTACATCATCACCAAACAGATCCCTAGTCTCAGCCCTTAATTTCAGCAATCTACTCAAAGTCTAGCTATAATGTGGCTTACACTCCACTCGTCAATACTCCTCACTCTTAAAAAAAAAATAGTGACAGGATAAGAATGAAAATTTTGAGAGTCAAATTAAATAGTAAAAAAATGGGAGATAGAATTTCAAAACTAAGAAGGACCTAAAAATAATTGGACCCAAAAAATTATTACCGCGGGTCATTTTCTACTATATACACATTTTTATCCTTAATTAAAACCAATCATTATAATGTAGATAAAAATAGTATATTCATTTCAGTACACAAATACTGAAGCTCAAGTGCTGCCATTTGCTAATAATCTGGCAATCAATATACATTTATTTCCGTAACAATTACTGAAGCTCAAGATGCCATATTTTTTAAAAGGGTAAATTACGCTTTTAATATTTAAACTATTAGTTATGATATGTTTTAGTACCTAATTTTTTTTTAAAACATACCTAACGTTTAGTTTTTGTTTTGTTTTAGTACCGCCTTTAAAAGCTTCACGCGTTTAATACCTAGACTATCAGTTATGATCCGTTTTAGTACCTAAACTTTAAATTGTTTTCAAAATTTAACGTTAAGTTTTTAACGGGGTAAGAAAATGAAACAAAAAATAAACTTTAAGTATGGTTTTAAAAATTAAAAGTTTAGGTAGTAAAACATACTAAAACTAATAATTTATGTACTAAACACGTAATTTATCTTTATTAAACTTTACATGAACATGTATACATCAACTACTCGGCAGCCAATGGACCCAATAAACTTTCCTTTTTATGAGCCAGAAATTTTCCCATTAAACCACATTATTGCAATAAGAATTGCCACTTTCTCCAACTGAGATACACAATAATTATAGAGATAATTTTATAGGAAATCCCTAACTATGACTCTTATTTTAAGTTAGTCCTTAAACTTTAAATAATAGTCCCTAAATTATGAGTCATTCTAAATTAATCTCTAAGCTTTAAGATATTATATATCAATCCTCAAACTACGGTATCATTTTCTTTTAATCCTTCCATAAACGTGTCATTAACTCTACTGTGCTCAATTCTCTAAAAAATATCTTATGACCTTAAAAAATAGATTAATATTCTTTAAAGACTACGTGTTCAATTCTCGTGACTTTAAAAGATATACTTTTTTCAACTAATTGAGTTAATGCCATACTAATGGAATGATTAAAATAGATCGATATTGATAGTTTAGGGATTGATATAAAATATTTCAAAGTTTAAGGCCTAATTTAGAATAGGGTCATGGTTTAAGGATTGATACAAAATATTTTAAGAGTTAAGGATCAATTAAAACTAGAGTTGCAGTTTGAGGATCTCATTTGCAATTAACTCATAATTATACTGCAACTCGAATTATTAGATTTACGTAAATTCAGCAATATATACAGGGATGATAATTTAATCTAAAACTGACGGATTCAACCAGACTTGATTTGGTAGGATTGAATTTAAAAAAAATAGATTCGGGTCAGATTTTTTAAAAGAGTGAGGTCGGGTTAGGTTCAGGTTCAGGTGGAGAGTGAAAAAATCAATCCTACCCGATCCGAAGATAATAATTTAATTTCTTTAAAAATTATTATTATTTAATTAAATCTTTATTTTATATCGAATCAGATAAGGTCAGCTCATATTTATATTCTAAAAATTTGAATCGAGTCTAAATCAAGTGAAATGTATTTTTCAAATCAGATCTAATCAAGTGAGAAATATATAATTTTTCGGTTGAATCAAATTCGAATAAAAGATATATAATTTTTAAATCAAATTAAATTAATAAAAAAAATTTACTCAACCCAACACGGTACGATCCAAAATATAGAGAACATGGAAGCAAATCACATGGACGGGACCAGACGACTCTTGTGCTCTACCATATCTGCCCCCTCATACCTTGGGAAAGAGGCGCAGTTCTTCAAATTAGGGCAACCTACCCCATTCATAGGCTCTGAAAACTATTCACAAGGTCATCCCAATTTGTGCCATTCATTCGTTAAATGCTTGAGGATCTGTCCCACTATTAATTTGTACCGACTAACTCATTTAATTATGGTTTCTGCCTTCAGGACTTTATTTTATCAAATCATTTGATTATTAAAAGTTTATTTTATCGAATTATTTAATTATTAAAATTTATAAAATGATCATCTGATTATAAAATATTATTTTGTTAAATTCATCGACTATTAAAAGTTATAAAATAATCACTCAAGTATTCATTATGTTTTAAACTTATCCATTTCCGTTAAATAAATGACAATTTGTTAACATTAATGTTAACATGATGGCTGAAATATAATAGTCGTTTGAGATTTAAATATAAGATTTTATCATATCACAATTAATATTTTAACGTTTAGCTCAGAATATCGTTAATTTTTTAACAAAAAATGACAAGTTTTGAACATAATAAATAGTCGGATGACCATTGTGTAACTTTTAATAGTCTAGGGACTCGGCAAAGTAACACTCTATAGTCGAATGACTATTTTATAACTTTTAATAGTCGAGTGACTTAATAAAGCAATACTCTATAGTCGGGAATCATTTGTGTAGTTTACCCTAATTTTTATTGTAATTATTAACTAATTTTCTTTAAAAAATCAATTATGAAATATGTTTGAAAAAAAAAAGTGGCGGACGTGAATGAAGATGGAGTGAGGTGGTCCACGGTCCAATTGACTTTCATGAGTTATGGGACAGTTATGCTATTAAGACATAACCAGAAGTGGAAAGTAGATATGTCCTAATTTCTAAGGGTAACCAAATATGGAAGTGTTGATTTATTATTAATAAAAAGAGAGAAAGATTCAATTTTTCTTTTTATTCATTGTATACATATAAAAATTGATTGAAAGAATGACAAAAATATATTATTCTAAAATTTTTAGGGTAATTGTACACAAATGGTCCCTTGACTATAAGGTGTTACCTTATTAAGTCTTCCGGCTATCAAAAGTTACAAAATGGTCTCTTAGTTATAGGATGTTGCTTTGTTGAGTCATTCGATTATTAAAACTTACAAAACAATCACTTGACTATTCATTATATTCCAAATTCGTCCTTTTCCGTTAAAAAAATTGGCGACATCCTAAGCTGGATGTTAATCTATTGTCTGTGATATATTAAAGTCTGATCCAAGAATCTCAAACGACTATCATATCTCATACAACATATTAAAATTTAGCTCAAATTGTCGTCAATATTTTAATGGAAAATGACAAGTTTGGAACATAATGAATAGCCAGGTGACCATTTTGTAACTTTTAATAGTCGAGGGACTCAACAAAGCAATATCCTATAACTAAGAGACTATTTTATAATTTTTGATAGTCGAGGGACTCAATAAAGAAATTTTCTATAGTCAAGGGACCGTCTGTGTACTTTACCCAAAATTTTAAAGATTCAACTTTTTTTACTTGAAAAAAAAATGAATGTGATGAATTATGTGTTGCAATTTTCTATCAAAGAATCCTTCATCAAACATAAAAAAAAAGTACATTAGTATAAAGGTTATGGCAATCTAGTAATGAAATCTAATGGTTGTTCGAAAAACATCAGTATTATCGAAAAAACGATCCGTATTGCATATTTGACTTTAGTAGGTGAGTCTCGTGAGATAGATTTTTTGCATACACAAGGACTCGTACCTAATATCTTATTTAAACCACATCAAATTATTTATCACTTGAACCAACTCATTGATTAAGAGATTTTTTTATTAATTATTAGTATTAGATATATTTAATTCAATAATTCTATATGAAACAAACAACCATTCCCAGTGAAAATCTGATCGGAGAATTCATCGGAAACACAGTCATTCAGTAATTATTCATGAATGGTCATTTATTTATTTCACATCCCGTTTTCAAGAAGTGGAGCCGACGACCGGAGATTCAAACCCACATGTCAGCATTTCGTCGGAGAAGGTGACGGCGACGAACCAAAAGCATTGTCGTAACAAAGCTCACCCACATCACAGAAATCGCAACTCAAAAGGTCCGACAAACAGAACTCTCCCATGCTGAAGTCGAGCGAAAAATCCGACGAGATAGGATCCGTCCCTTCGTTTTCGGATTCCGGCAACGATGATGATCGATTCTTTGAAGAAGTCGAAGGCTTTGCCTCTCTGTTTTTCATGTCACAACGGTCAGGGTTTGAGAAAACCTTGGTGGAGAACCTGGTTGCCCTCGTCCGTATAACTTTTGCCGGAAAAACACCATTCCCGTGACCATTATCATCACCACCAGCACCACCGGTTGTCTGTTTGGATTTGTTGTTTTTCGAAGCTCCGGTGGCCAGCTTTTGGCGGCAGTCGTTGACGACTCTTTTACTTAGGTTTGTGTTCCAGTAATTCTTTATTTCATTGTCTGTTCGGCCGGGAAGCCTCCCAGCTATCAATGACCACCTGCATTAACTCAGCACGAATATCAGAGACGAGTTAAATCGTTTAACAACTCAGAACAAAACCATGAACAGAACCTGTTCCCCAGGAGTTTGTGGAGTTTGATGATGAGTTCTTCCTCGTCAGCTGAGATGTTACCTCTTTTGATATCTGGTCTCAAATAGTTCAACCACCGAAGCCTGCAGCTCTTCCCACATCTCTTCAGACCTGCCAAAAAAAAAGACAAACTTTGTCTGAAAAAAAAGAGAAAATTTTCCGGCTGAATTTCAAGACAATACCAGCTCTTTTAGGAAGATTTCTCCAACGTCCTTCGCCGTGTTCTTTAATGTAATCTGTAAGAACTTTATCTTCAAACGCAGTCCAAGCTCCTCTATTGAGATCTTCCTTTGAACAACAAGGGCTTCTTCCCATTTTTTCTCTGAGATTTTCAACTTTGTTTTTCTGGGACACTTTCTCCCTTGTTGTAGGGGATGATTTATAGCTGCCTTTCGCTGGGGTTTATGGCATTGATGATGTATATGGGAGAGAAATAAATTCATGCTTTTGTTTACGGTTGTAAGTGAGACAGAGCGGTCACGAGATATTTAGATCGGTTCAGTCAAAATTCGATAAATATTTGCTTTGAATAAACTCACTCGAGATTTTAACGAACTATTTAATACTCGACTCAAAAATCTCGTGAGCAACTCAAAAATATAATATATTAAGATTCTGTTTTTTTTTAAATTATTAATAATATTAACATTTATATGTTGATTTTTTAAAAAGAATTCCGGTATAAGGTTTTCATGTATTTAAGGTTCATGTTTGAGTTTGAGGCTTCAATCAAGTTAAGTTTAAGATTTTTTTTTTCATTTCGAGCTTTTATGAGCTTTAGTTCATGATTTCGAGTTCGAGTTGAACTTGAAAATTTTAGGCTCGTTATTTTTTTAGTCGAATCGAGCTTCATTTCAGAGTTTTCGAGTCGAGTCAAACTCAATAATACTCGAGCTCAACTCAGCTCGTTTACAACCCTACTTCTGTTTTTAAGGGTAAATTATGAGTTTTGTACCTAAACTATCAGTATTGATTCATTTTAATACCTAAACTTTCAATTATTTCAAAAACATACCTAAAGTTTAGTTTCTGTTTCATTTTAGTATCCCGTTCAAAATTTAATGTTAAATTTTAAAAAAATTAAAAATTTAAGTATTAAAACTAACCAAAACTGATAGTTTTGATACTAAACGCTAGTTTACCCTTTCTTTCAACTTCTCCCTTTGAAAATTTGATGGGAAAAACAAAAATTACAAAATGGGTCTTTGTTGTACACGTGCTAAAGGGGCCACGTTTATATAGTCCTCCAATAAAATAATATGTTTATGCGTAAAGTACACAAATGGTCCCTCGATTATAAAGTATTATTTTTTAAGTTTTTTGATTATCAAAAGTTATAAAATGATCCCCGACTATAGGATTTTACTCTGTCGAGTCATTCGACTATTAAAAGTTACAAAATGATCATCCAAATATTTATTATGTTCCAAATCGTCATTTTCCGTTAAAAATTAATAGTGATATGAGTTGAATGTTAACCTAATGTCTGATATATTATAGTCTTTTAAAATTTTGAGATTAAATTTTATCATATCTCAACGAGTAGAATAACATCCAGCTCATAGTGTCATCAATTATTAAAATGATGAATTTAGGACATAATGAATAGTCGAGTAATCATTTTATAACTTTTAATAGTAGAGGGACTCAACAAATCAACATCCTATATCAGAAAATCATTTTATAACTTTTGATAGTCAATGGACTCAGTAAAACAATACCCTATAATCAAAGGGTCATTTGTATAATTTACCCTATGTTTATTTACTTTTCCTTCAAATTTATTGGCTTCTCACATATTATAAAAATCATTTTTTCTTATGTCTAAATATTTTTAATATATTTTATAGTATATTTTTAATATTAAATTTAATATTATATTTTAATGGACTTTTATGTAAGTAATTTATTCTTTTATTCATGTTTTAGATAATTGAGCTAGTTCTCTTTTATTTATAAAATATTTATAATCACAAGATAGATCACTTTAATTTTGTATACTTTTATAATTTATTCTATTTTTATTTTATTAATAAATTAAGTGCTATTATTTTTTTGGGGTATAATTATCAGTATCTGATCTATTGATCGATTAATCTAGATCATGTATTGCATAGGTGAGGACGACCTCTCAAACCGATTTTTTCCATTCACAAACATTGAAATTTGAACTTCTAACCTTGCTTAAAGGATCTAATGTCTCCTCTCACTAAATCAACTGATTGCTATTATTAGTTCTCTTATACAATATACTAGTAAGTATATTTTATTGTAACAATTAAATCGGTTAAATTTATTAAATTGAATATAATCGAAACACCTAATTCATTTCTTAGTAAGAGGGGTGATAATTAAAACAATTATGCACAAAATAACATTTCTTATTCATGTTTTCTTCGTTTTTGTTTGAGTTAATAATCATTTTTTAAACATTAAATTTTAAATAAAAAAAATGATATTTTGCGTTTCAAACAGAATTTTAAACAAAAAATATTTTCATAAATATTCCCAAACTACCCTTAGTTTAAGTGGTTAAAGATTTATCAAACAACATCAAGGGACGAGTAGGGATGATAAATAGGCGGGGTGGATGCATATACCCCTTTTTCATTCTCATACCCACTTAATAACTTTTGTATTCATCACCTACACACCAACCATGACGAGTAAAATTTTTAAATCGACACTCTCCTACGCGAGTATATTCTCAAATCTATTCCCATAACTACTACCCAATTAGATACCCACCATCCATATCGAACCCGCCCGTACCCATCTGGCAACCACCTCACATATTACATAAGCTACAAAACATAAAACAAACACAACCATTAAGAAGCATAATGTCGCAACCGTCTTTCGGTTGGGCCCGGGAATTGGGCTTCGACTTAAAAAATGTGGATTGGAGTCGCCACCGATCATTTATTTAAGAATAAATAGGTTGATCAGATACCTTATTTCTTACATGATCTGCGTCTTTCCAAAGATGTGTCGGGTTCGGGAGTCGGTTACAGTCAAGGAAGGATTAACACCCTTGAACTGCCCTTTCGGTACTACGTAATTTCCAGTTGTCTTTGATTAAGAAAATTATAAGTTTAAATTAAAAGATAAAATAATGATCCAAAATTACTTACATTTGACGGATTTACAAATATACCCTTTAAAAGTCAAAATATGGGTTAGAAGAAATGAATAAATGATAAATAAAGTAAAACAAATAAAATAAGGAGATTAAGAAATAAATAAAGTAAATATAAAATGAATAGAATATATAAAATAAAAAATACAATAACACTAATATATACATAGCAAACAACTAAATAAAAATAAAATGATAATGCAAATAAATAAATAAAACAAGTAAAAGAATATAAAAACATAAAATATAGGATAAAGATAAAAAGAAAATAGATAAATAAATGAGAAAAATATATAAAAAAAGTAAAAGCATATATATATAAGTAAAATAATAACAAAAAAAAAAGAAAATCAAAAGTAATATACGTATTTATACATGTAAAATAGGAAATATATAAATATATATATATATATATAATAACACTAAAAAAACATATATACATATATAATAAAATTAATAGAAAGTAACATGCATATATAACAAGAATAATAAAGTAGGAAAAATGATTTAGGGGGTGAATTAAATATTTAAAAAAAATGAACACGCCTCGGGGGTAGATCTAGGTTCGAAACTTCGAAATCCCACCCCTTTTTGGTTATATGTGCAACCCACGTTTTGGGTTATTCGAACCAAATCTCAAGAAAAATAACGTGCACATGCGAGAAATGAACGAACCAATGTAAAAAAGATGCTACCTTTTATTTCCTTTTCGAATCGTTTACAATAGCTTTGCCTTTGTATTTTCCGTGCTTTCCTCTGTGTTTTGTGTGTAAATCTTGTGTTACAATAGTGAGTTACAATGGCTATTTATAGTGCTTGTGGATCCTATCTTTAAGAGTTTAAATCATAGTAGAACTCTATCCTATTTTAGGAGTTTGAATCCTAACAAAATTCTATCATATTTTTAGGAGTTTGAATCCTAGTAGGACAAAAAGGTGTGTTGACAGCTGCCCCTCTTTACCCGTAGTCGTGTAAAGGGGATAGGGCAAAGATTAAAAGACACACTTTTCGTTCGGTGGAGTTGAAAATTGACTCTGATGTTTCAATAACTCCCTGTCGAATTGAGTTACAGATGACTCCTCCGTCGTGAAGCCGAATTCATCTTGAAATGATATGAAATTGAAGTCGTAGTTCGGAATTTGAATCAGCACGTGGCTTCTTGTTGCCCTTCGGTCTTCTTCTCGGTTTAAAGACCTTGGATCGGAATCGAACTCAGAAATATTCTTTGACAAATAGCTTTTGCTTGAAAATGGTTGCTTGTCACTAAGGCACGGTTAACCCAGGTTCTCTTCTCGACTTGAAAACCTTGACTGCAACCGGAAAGTAGTGCGATTGATGTGTCATCGAGTTGAATGGAATCGAACTCGACAATTTTGATGGCAGATAACCCTTCTAGCCTTGAGTTATGTTGTAAATGATATGCCTTGGAGCTGAGCGTAGTCGAACTCGAAGGTCTTTGTTGACAGATACTCCTTCTTTGAGTTGGATATCCTTTGTCGTGAAGTTGAAATCCAATCTAAAGATGGATGATGCTTGTGTGCACGATTCCCTTCTTCGTGAAGTTGAGCCTGAAATTGGATATTCTTCGTCGTGAAGTTAAAGTCCAAGTAAGTAGCATTGTTCCGAGTCCAATATCCTCCGTCGTGAAGTTGAAATTGGCTCTGGAACCGGGAAATTGTTTGTTGACAACCAGCCGTCCCTTCGTTGTGAAGTTGAACTTGTGTTGTCTCGAGTCCAATATCCTTTGCTGTGAAGTTGAAATTGGCTCTGAAATTGGGAAATTGTTTATTGACAACCAGCGGTCCCTTCGTCGTGAAGTTGAACTTACGTTGTCTGGAGTCCAATATCCTTCGCTGTGAAGTTGAAATTGGCTCTGGAATTGGAAAGTTATTTATTGACAACCAGCGATCCCTTCGTCGTGAAGTTGAACTTGCGTTGTCTGGAGTCCAATATCCTTCGTTGTGAAGTTGAAATTGGCTCTGAAATTGGGAAGTTGTTTATTGACAACCAGTGGTCTCTTCGTCGTGAAGTTGAACTTGCGTTGTCTAGAGTCCAATATCCTTCGTTGTGAAGTTGAAATTAGCTCTGAAATTGGGAAATTATTTATTGACAACCAGCGGTCCCTTCGTCGTGAAGTTGAACTTGCATTGTCTGGAGTCTAATATCCTTCGCTGTGAAGTTGAAATTGGCTCTGAAATTGAGAAATTGTTTATTGACAACCAGCGGTCCCTTCGTCGTGAAG